ACACACACACACACACACACACACACACACACACACACTCTTCCAGCTTCTGCTGTTTCTGGATCTTCAGCATGTGTGACAGATGTCCGTTCTTAGGGTTCCTGCGGGTCCTTAAAAAGTCTTTTAGCAAATAATAAAGCAAATTTAAGGCCATAAAAAGTTAAACTGTACAAGAAAGTCTTAATTATGATTTCACGAGGTCTTCAATTTAGGGACAGAAAGACCAGAATTGTGATATGGCTTAATTTCTGCCGTTCCGAAAGCGCCACCTGCTGGCAGAGAATTAATGTGCATTTTCAATAAACCCGTCTGCTGTTTTTGTTCAGATCAATGTGAAAATGCAAACACGCAGAGATATAAATGTGAACTGGTGGATTGATAAGAAGATAATTCGTTATAAAAATCTAAACAGTAAAATGTATTTATATGTCATTTAATCAATTTATTGATAATTGTTTAAATTAATATTATAATTAAAACATTTGACTCTGAAAGGCTGAAATGTGATGTGTATCATTTTATAAACTTTGTTTTCGTGAAAACTGTGAATCATGTTTTTTACAGTCATTTTACAGTTTAATATGTTACTATAGACATTGCCCTACCCCGCTCATATGCTATTAATTTTATTTGTAGGGGTCTTAAAGTGCCCCTATTATGGGTTATGAAAGGTTCATATTTTGGTTTTGGGAGTCCCCAACAACAGGCTAACATGCATGCAAGGTCAAAAAACACTTTCATTGTCTTATAATATGCATTTATTTTTACCTTACTTGCTCAACGCCTCCAGGTTGACATGCATGCAAGGTCAAAAACACTTTCATTGTCTTATAATATGCATTTATTTTTACCTTACTTGCTCAACGCCTCCCAAACGATTCGCTCAACGATTAATTTTTTCAAACCCCTTCTTTGCGTGACGCTAATCTGCGGTGATTGGTCCGATTGTTCTAATTTTAACGTCATCATTGTGTAATGCCTGATAATTAAAGCAGTGTTTGTGAGCGCAGTGCTGCTTTGTGTACAGCGTTACCGTGGAAACCTCTATTCCGTGGAAACAGCTAACCAATCACAACACACACTGGCCCAGCTAACCAATCACAACACACACTGGTCCAGCTAACCAATCACAGCACACACTGACCCAGCTAACCAATCACAGCATATTTCAGAAGTCATTTAATACAGGAACTATTTGAGCCGTTCATGCCAGACTGGGGAGAGAGGTGTTGTAATAATGTAAAATATGTGAAAAATAATGTGTTTTTCGAACAACCTAGTATGAGAGCCTTTTCTAGTACACCCCCAAAACAAAACCAAGACTTTGTAAAAGAGCATAATAGGACCCCTTTAAAAAACACACAGAGGTTCTGCTGGGTAATGAAGTTCTGTGTCTCTGCAGATCGTTCAGGCCAGATTTCGTGCTGGTTCGTCAGCACGCCTACAGCATGACCCCGGGAGAGGACTTCAGGAACCTGGTGATCGGCTTGAACTACGGCTCCGTTCCCAGCGTTTACTCGCTCTTCTCTATCTACAGCTTCTGCAGCAAACCCTGGGTGGTGCGTCAAACGAGTCTGAACCCCTCACTAGTGCACAAACATCAGTCAGTCTGAGTCTGTTAGTGATGCTCGTTATAACACGACGTGATTCACACGCTGAAAGAAACAACTAATAAAAATAATACCAAACGCATTCGTTTTTCTCATATGTGACCCTGCAGCACAATCCTAACAAACCATACATCAATGGAAAGATTATTTATTCAGCTTTCAGATGATGCATACATCTCAATTTCGAAAAATTGACCCTTATGACTGGTTTTGTGCTCCAGGGTCACAAATTGTATTTATGTTTTGGTTTAAACCTCAAAGTCTGCTTTAATATTAATCCAAAATATTTATTTTCCCAAAGGCAAAAACATTGTTACAATGTAAAAAGATTATTATTATAAAAACCATACTTGATTACATTATTCTATTGTTATAGATAGCTAAAACAAAAATTAAAACTAAAACCATAAACATTTTATTGCTTGAAAAATATATAATATATAAAATATGATAAATAATAACATATAAACATCTCTATAAACTTATTTTATTTAATTTTACTTGTTTTGGTTTCACTAGTTGCATCAGTTATTGTCTTTAGTACCAAGATAACTAAAACTAAAACTGAAATAAAAATGATTAAGAACTATATAGACATATATAAAAAAGAAAAAAGACAAAAGCACACAACTAAATTACTAAAACTTTAAAATGAAAACAGAAAATGTACACAAAAAAAGAAGAATATTACCAATACTGTAATCATACTAAAATAACACTGCTTAAACAATGTTTTTTCTTTAGGTCGATATTATAATTGTTTGTGTTTTTATAAGTTAATTTAATCATAAATAAAAGCTATAATCTGATCAAACTAAAATACTTTGCTAGTCAATGCTTACTTGCTATAAATAAAGACAACTTTAAAAGATCTTAATGATTATTGTGATTGTAAAATATGCATCATATCTTCAAAAACTCAAGAGTTATGAATAAAACCCACAGTAATTTCTGCAGTCAGTAAAGCTAGTTCGTATGTATACCACAAGCCAAACTCATTTTTATTTTATTTTATTTTTTCTATTAGAAGTATTACTTGCTTTCAGACAAACTGAATAAAACGGGTCTAAACGGAAAAGCATGATTTTGTGATTCACTCTGTGGGTTGTTTCAGTGCAAACTCAGACTAAACTAAGACTAAACATACTGCGTTATCAGTGTGTTTGGGACTGAACTCACATGATATCGCGTTACAGTACTTCTTTAATGCGTTATATGGCCTTCAAGTAAACTCATTTTTGAGGTTGAGTGAGTTTTGATGGAAGAGGACGAAGACAAAACGCTGTGTTCTTTATAATAATGAATCATTCATGTGTTTCTGTGTCTGGATTCTGCAGGTCTCTCACATGATCAAGCTCTACCAGACTCTGGGTCCAGAGAAGTTCCCGCTCAACGAGCAAACCTTCTTCCCCAACCACACGCAGATGGTGAGTCTCTGCGCTAACCTGGTCACTAAACAGGTTACTAAACCTCAGGCCATCCGACATTAGGATGAGTTTGTTTCTTCGTCAGGTTTGTAGAAATGTAGCATTGCATCAGTGTTTCAGCAATGGATGCTCTGCAGTGAATGGGTGCCGTCAGAATGAGAGTCCAAACAGCTGATAAAAACATCACAATAATCCACAGCACTCCAGTCCATCAGTTAACATCTGGAGAAGACAAAAGCTGAAACAAATCCAGCATTAAGACGTTTATAACTAAAATATGAGTCTATAATCCATAATAATGCTTCCTCCAGTCTATTTATAAAGTCTATTCATACAGACGCACTTGTTATGTGCCCAAATATGCAGGGTTTTTCTTTTGAAAGACTGAAGATGTTTGATTTTTGATTACTTAATGAATGTCTGCATGTGTGTCTTCCCCTATAAAATCAGTTTTATAAAGCGGATAGTTCCGGTGCTTGATTCTGATTGGCTGAGCCGCGTTCGAAGCTGTTGTAAATGACTCTACAAAGTAACATACACCTTTGTTTACGTTTGTCTGTTGCTCGGCAACCACTTTGTAGCAACCACAACTGTTTCTGAGGAACTACATTGTTTGGTGGAAGAATACTGTTTTTATTAATATCATTACACTTTATTTGCTCTGTTTTATTTTGTGAAACCTTGCTACGTATATGGAATAACCGTTTTATAAATTAGAATTTATAACAGCTCTGTGTCGTGCCTAACAACGCCCCTTAGCTGTTATAAATCCACTGTAAACCACGGCTTCTTGGGGCTTATTGCTTTATTATATTTTACAAAGTCATGTTTTTGTCGTTTTAATTCTCCAAAACTCCGTTTTAATGGTTGAATTTTAGGAATCAGAAAGCATGCATAATTCATTTAAATCATGAAACTTGCGCAATTTATTAAGTTTATCAAAATGTGTATTTTTAGGGCGCTATGAAATCCATTAAATTTTTTCCCAAATTCCATTTTTTTCTATTTAAATTTTCCTGCATTTCATTTTTTTTCTTGAATTTGTTTTAATGGTTAAATTAAATTATAATAATCAAAAAGCACGTCTAATTAATTGAAATCATTCAAACTTACACAATTTAACATAAAAAAAAAAAAATACAAAGATTATATTTTTAGGGCCCTATGAAATCCATTTTATTTTACCCAAAATTCTATTTCCGGGAGTCCATTATTAAAGATTAAATTAAATCTTAATAATCAAACAGCATGTCTAATTAATTGCAATTAAGCACTGTTTACAGTCCAAAACAGCTCTAAACAAATATGTGGCTGGATTTTGATGCGAGAGACAACAGGAGACGGACTTATGGACTTATTATGGACTCTATGAAATATGGTATTTTAGTTAAAAACATCTTAATGCTGGATGTGTTTCAGCTTTTGTCTTCTCCAGATGTTAACTGATGGACTGGAGTGCTGTGGATTACTTGTGGATTATTGTGATGTTTCTATCAGCTCTCGTTCTGACGGCACCCATTCACTGCAGAGCATCCATTGCTGAGACACTGATGCATTTCTCCAAATCTGACGAAGAAACCAACTCGGATGAGCGCATTCATGTTCATTTTTCCCAGAATAATAATGACAAGAGAGTCACAGATCCGTTTTCACAACGTTTATTATAAAAATATAAAACAAAGAAATTAAAAATCGAATCGAATCGATTGAAAAATGGTCATCTGTCTCACACACACACACACACACACAC